TATATAAATGCATAAATTTAGATGGCATCGGTATAGTTTGGGTGTCCTTTTGTCAAATATATAACGTAAGGGAAGAAAAGTCAAAGGCTTCGTAAGATCGTATAAAAGCTGTCATATTGACCAAAGTTTTCATCAGTGTTGGATTATTGTTTAATAATAAGCCTTGTAACATTAACCCAAACTAATATTATACGGTTATCTTAGGTGACATATTCCTTCTGAACTTTAGCATCTGTAAATCTATCACGAGAGTATGAAAATTATGCATTTTTTTTTTTTCTTTATTTTCATACGAATCTCGTAAAACTGATGATTCCTATTATGCAAATTTATCAACGTACGATGGTAACTTCAAAGTCTTGAGAATGATATTGCACACATTTTTTGACAAGAGCATCATTTTGAGTTGAGGTATTGGAAAAAACCAACACATTTCGTATGTAGGTGTGTACAGGATATGCAACCCTCGAAGCGCATAATACGCATATGTCACACTTATACCTCTCTTATTGATCTCTCATGGAAGGGTGTACGAGTATTATTCTTCGAGCCGAGACTTACCTCGGCCAAAAAACCATGAAGCGACGAGATGATGCGTTACACTTTCCTTTTTTGCCTGTATTCTTGTACCATTAGAAGTATGGAAAATCTCATTATCCACGATGAGTAAAAAATTCAAGCAAAGCACATCGGGACGGATCAATCCTATTGTTTTCTCAATTCATGAACAACCCTCTCGTGCAACGACCGAGAGTATCGAGAATATATGCATATAATTGATGTGCATCGATCAACTCTCATTTATATATATATATTATAGAGTCCTGTACTGTAGAGGATGGGTATACATAGGGGTTGGGTGATCATATATATAAAAAATGTACTGGAAATAATCGAGATGAATATTGGTTCAACACACGTGTAATTTATTATCATAAACCAAACATTGATATAAAAAAAAAAAAAGAACAATCGACGAGGAATCAGACAAACAGTAACATATGGTGTTCAGTTGGTGCAGTGCTGGTAGATGTGTATATATGTACATGAGGCGTTGCACCGCGTCTCGGTCGTCTACTTCCTGAAGACGATGGGGGCGGCCGGCGGTACGGGAGCGTAGGCCGCAGGGGCCGTGTAGGCCAACGGTGCCCCGGCGTAGCCAAGCGGAGCGGCCAGGGGAGCCGATGCGTAAGCCACGGGCGCAGCCGGGGCGTACGAGAGCAGAGTAGGGGTGGCGTAGGCGAGGGTGTTGTAGTTGCGCTGAATCGCCTGGTAGCTCCTGGCCGTGACGAGCGGAGCTGCCGGAGGCACGATGGGCCCGACAGGCACGATCCCGGCGGAGGCCACCGCCACTAGTAGGGACAGAGTCTGCGGAAGAGCAATCGATGCACGTGGTTATTCAACAAGACAAAAAAAAAGAAAACATCATCGATACTCGGGTGATTGTATATATATATACTTACAGCTAGCACGAGCATCCTGATGATTGGAGGGGTCGTTGGGTTGTTGGTGAGGAACGAGCCGAGAGGTATTGATGCCCGGTGGGACAGGGGTCCTAGTTTTTATAGCCGAAACATCCCGTTCCCCACTTCTCGGTTGGATTCGCGACGAATTTCGACACCATCTTGTTGGACATTGGGTGTGCAGTGCAGTGGGAATTACGATGTGCCTACTTGATACGTGACGGCCCGAGGAGTCGTGTAATATCTCGGGGGGCTCGCTTGTGAAATCAATTGCCCGGTTCGTTTGACCTACCGATCACGTACCGCTTGCTCGCGGCTTTGAGCGGTACCCGAATTTACAATGCGCTATACCTACCTCTCTCGCTCGGCACATGCGTGCATGCATGTACGTACGTGAGAAAGTAAAAGCTTCATCGGACATTCATTTTTTTTTTTTTTACAATTTTACACAAAACCCCCGCATTGGGTGCTCGATGGATCATCGCAAGCGCAGCGACTCGACCGCGAGCTTTTTTTTTCTTTTCGGGCCCAATGAGTAATTGGAAGAAAGCGTGCATAAGTAGAGGCAAGGGAATGCCGAGGGGGACAAAAAATGTTTCAATTACAAAATGTCCCTCGTGAGGCTTAAAAAAAAACGAGTACCTTCGTTTAGTGTAACAATAAAATCTATCGAGGCTATATGATTCGATGTTTACAATACGACGCGTTGAATGATTAATGTGACTAAATGCGTATGATTATAGTAGAGGTGGTGCTTTCTAATAAATATATTCAAGTTCGCGCGAATCGTAATTTTCAATGGCACGACCTTGAAAAATACATACGTGTATCAAAATGTACATATGCATGATGTTATATACGAGTACAAATATTTTTGAAAACATATACGCATTTGTGCATGTATATAATGCATATTATATACTTGTGGAGCTTGTTAATTATCTTCGCTCGAGTGCCAAAGAGGCAACCTTGCCGTTACTCCTTTCATCCCGACTGCCAAGCTAAAGCACAATGGTTACGTAACGATGTATACCCTATAAGTTAACTACGCGTCATCGAATATGCGTTTCACCTACACCGTTACATAATCTTTCGTCACTTTTTACATTTTTCCAAACACTTTCACGTATTATACTTGACGGGTTTCAATCACTTCGACCATACTCATGAATACACTCATTTTACAACAAGTATGCGTTATTCGCAACAGTGGAATCATAATAATAATATGCCAATGTAGGTATACATCTTTACATCTAGTTGTATGCAAAGCTTTCATCGGCATGCGCGTTTGGAATGCAGCACCCACACCAGGTAATCACGACGAGAGAGCAATATATAGTATAAAAAATCGGTTTTTTGATGATCATATCAAATCTACAAGGAATTCCACAATCGTGAGATACCACATATTGAGAAATACTAAGAAAATCTAGCGTTAAAGAATTAAGATGAGATTTAGTTTAAAAATAGGAACCTGAAACATTTAACATTGAAACGAGAAATTTGTTGCTATAGTTTGTACATCGAGGCTATGTGTACATAAAGCACGTACAGGTTTTTTTTTTTTTTTTTTTTTTTTTTTCAATTAACGAGTGTTTTTTATTTCAACCAGAGTGAAAAGTGAAACCACCTGTAATGTATGCATAACTATGACTAAGTATGTAGTCCGTGAAATGAATTTTAAAGTTAAAAAAAGAATGTGGTCCAACTATATGCTTTACATTTTATTGGAGGGATAATTCACTCTGCGGACCCACGTAATCGAGTTTTGGAACTAACTTGAGCAATTTATCACGCGTTTCACTCCATTCAAGTAATTATAATTACTTGTACATATAATCGGTTACCTTTAAAATGCAAAAAGTAATGCATGTAAGATAAAATTGACTAAAATTTTTCTCAAACAATCCTTTTCTCTACATTGCTATTCTAACAATCTAAACGACAGACATTTTTTTACAGTATTAGTAGGTACATTTAATTTTTTGTACGTGTAAGAGTTCATCGAGAGAAAAAAATGTATAGAGAGTGGTTGTACGGTTCAAATTACTGTCTGGCAATTGCATGGCAAAAATTAGGTATAGCCACTAATAAGAAGGTCCTACTTTCTTGGACGGCGCAATAATATCATATTGTATTCTAGCATATGTTTGCAATTTTTCATGCAATACAATGACAATAACTGTATCTGTCTAACTGTACACGCTATGAATAAAAAAAATTTTTTTTTCATTTGTTTCGCTCCTACTTTGAAAATCAAAACAATTTTAACGCTCGCGTGCGTATCGGTAACAGGTTTTGAGCCTCATCGAAGTGTGCAATTAATGTTTTGCATCGTATACTGTCAATTTCGAGTTAATAATCGGATGCTCTTTAATGCAACAAAGAATATTCAAACTATTATTTGTTTCCTCTTGAGGGGGGGGGGGGTGGAATTGACATTAAATGAAGCACTGGTGATGACTTCAATATCAGCGTGCCTTGGTCCTTGTCATGCCACGCCATCCCTTTGTTGAAAGATACACGAGATACATTTACAGGGAAAGTGCGTAACGAAAGTTTAAACTCCCGATTACTCGAATAACAGAAAATAAAAAATAAAAAAAAAAAACCGTGATTGGATGCAAAAAAAACGAGCAAGTATAATTAATTGGTAGCGTGGATTTTATAGTACGTGTACGAGGGTACGATAGCGAGAGGTGCATCGGGCATTTTTCCGGTCGCGGTCGGTTCTCCTTTTCCTTTTTCCCTGCGCGCGGTCCGATGCTCGCGCGGATGGCCTTGCGCATAATCGCCGCTCTTACCCCGCGGTGCTCTGTCCTTTTTCCCCTTTTTCCTCTCCCATCTTTTCTCATTGCCCCTTTTTCTTTGTCCCTTTCGTTGGACTCGCGCGTCCGGCGCTCTCCATCCTCTAGAGAGAGGAGGAAAAACCGGCAAGGGAGAAGAGAAAAACACGAGCAGCATCCTCGAGATACCGCGGTCCCCATCAAGGCTCCCCCTTTGGTAGATTATACACTTATATTCCCCTGCTTCTCTCGATCCTTCCTACTCCCTTTACTCCCCCTTCCCCCCAAAGGTTTCGTACCTTACAGTACACCGCTCGCACTGGACTGCTATATAAAGGCTCGTCCGGCTCGGCTTGGGCACATTGTCCTCAACTGCAGTACAACCCGGCACAACTCTCTCAACATGTTCAAGCTGGTCAGTATATACATCATAGATCGATAAATTTGTAAAAACAAAATTTAATTTCTGTGATTTTTTATACTCTCGTTTTAATAACAACTGTGCGTAGCTTGTTTCGTTTGTGGAATCTATCGGGATCATTTTCAATAGAATTTTGGCTGGTTTTTTTTTTTGTTTTGTTTAAACTATCGAGATTCGAAGAATTTGATGGGCAAAGTATTTCCAATATATGTATATATAAAAGAAAGAGTAGTCTCATCATGAATTTTGTCCTTCTTGCAGTTCTTGTTAGCCTGCGTCCTGGCGTTTGCCGCGGCCGTGCCGGCACCAGCCCCAGCCCCAGCCCCGGAACCAGCTCCCGAGGCCAAACCAGGTGCCCTCCTGGCGGCCCCGGTCTTCCCGGCCGGCTACATCGCACCCGCGATACCATCGTACGGCGCCCCCCTGCCGGCCGCGTACGCCTACACCTACGGCAGCTACTTGCCGTACTACCGGCCCAGCTACCTCTTCTAAGGGCTATGTGTCCCTCAAGCCCGGCTCGCCGTCCCGCGGTGCACGAGTGACACGTCGACCACACCGGCCACCACTGCCTTCATCGGGATCCTCTCCGTACACACCCCCCCCTCCCCTCATCATTATATCCTATCCCCCCCCCATCACGTTCGCCACATCCGCTCACTGCTTCATATGGTCCGATTAAACGCGTATTATACCTCCGTCACCGATTCGTCTCCATCGATACACCCTTACGCACCTTGTCCCTCGCTCATCTGACTTTTTTTTTTTTTTTTCGTATCCGCTCATCATGGGAAAAACAAGCAAATAAAAAAATATACATTGTTTTCAAACGTTTGACTAATAAAATTGCTGCTTCAAGCTCATTTTTTTTTTTTCATCGCAATCTTGGTCTACCGATTTATTTACGTATATACTACACACCTTTCTCCTCCTCCCTCCTGTATACTTACATATATTATATACATTTGCGCATTCGTTGCACCTGCAGGTAGAAGTTTCATCAGCTGCGGGCACTTTCGACCTAAAAAATTTTTGGCTTTTTGTCGAGGGTACAATGACAAATAAGAGCTGTTTTTTTATATTATCTTTATTGGCATCTCGTTCAATCCAAGTTTATCATTTACCTGAGGTTTTTTTTTTTTTTTTCTCAGTAGGTACTCTGAATTCGTCTATATATTTTTAAAACGATGGTAAAGTGATTTATTTAACGCCTTTACTATTAATCTTTTGTTTTAGAACTGCTTAAAACATGTGTACAGATAATACATTTAATAGAATATAAGATTAAACTTTTGATTGACTTAACCCAAAACAAGAGTGTGCTTAATAATGTTGACTACGGAAAGCTCATGATTGCTATGATTCTTACTCTCAAAAATACGTCGAATCAGTCTTCTCGTTTAAAAAGTAATATTACACACTATATATGGCAATGTAAGTTATTTTCATCCATCAACTGTCACTCTTAGTTAAACATCAAGTTGGTCATAGATCAAAACTTTTCGATATTTGGTATAGGGTTTCGTTGACTCCTCTTTACTAACCACTAGTCGTACTGGTATACGTGAACAGTATAAGGTACATTTATGCGTATGCACTTGGATTACACAGCTAACGTCACGAGCCCGTAGGTCCGGGTTTGTCGCTCGGCCCTGAGACTTTAGTTCTTGAATACACGCTCAGGAGGGAAGCTGTAGAGAGCAAGTAATTTTAAGTATCGCGCGATGACAAAAACAAAAAAGTGTAAGTACGCGAGTTCCGGGAAAATGGGCTTTAATGAATTTCGAGGTATGGTTCCTTGTACGGTACTTCGGCATTGTTTGCAATTTTTTTTTCTTTCAGAAGAAATACGACAAAGTCCGAAGTGAATCCAAGCGCAATACTCTGCTACTGCGGCTTGATTGCAAACGCAAGCGGCAACGTCGGTATACTATATACTTATCGATTGTTAAAAAAAAAAAACTTGCAATACTTCAATGGGTGGTTTCATCAAATCAGTAATTGTCATGAAGTACAAAAGACGTACAGCCTTTGTTGTAAAGTTATGGATGTCACATGAATCAAATGAGTATATAGAATATGCTTCCGACACCTTTTTGGATACTTACTTTGTTCGCATTAAACTGAAATATTCATATTGAACAATGTCTCCCTCATGTGCGAAAAAGCGTGTACGCTATATACATCGCCATAATTTTGCATATAAAACTGCATGAGGATATATTTAGATTTTTTCGATTGTTTTTTCATCCGAGATTGAAGGTGAAAATGTTACATACAGGGAATTGTCTCGACTGATACACGAACGAGAGCGAAAATTGGACGGTTTCTAAGAAAATACTGTCTATTTGATGGATTCGGTTTGTATGCATATGAGGCCGACGCGTCTATCCCATATATGTTGAAAGCTCGGTGACGCCGGTGATTGGCATCAGTCTCGGCGATTACGGCCACTGCCGCTCTTCGTGCTATACCAGTATGATATATTTTATAAGCGTCAGCTAAGCGCATTGGTACTCCTTTACTCCCATTTGTAAAAATTAACAACTTCTTCTTAAAAAATTATTCCACCTCATATTTTAACTTTTAGCAATTTGATTTTACTTGTGTACTATAAGCAAGCCATTAGTTTACTTTCAATAAAAAATTAATAAAACTATACATCAATAGTTACATATATTTATAGTTATGATGATTATTCGTTTATGTGTGAGTGTATGGGAGAGAGAGACAAAGAGAATTTTTAATCCAACGGTTCTCGAATTTCATTTCCATCGTATCACATTTTTTTGATATCATGTAACAAAAGACTGGAAGTTGACTAATGAGGGTAAAAAAAATCCATGTAATAATATATCATTCTTTTTGTGATTGTATCATACAAATTAATCTATATTTAAAAAATTTCATCGCTATTTCTTCGACTGTATTTTTTAATATAATGAGCAAATTGCTTATCACTTAAGAAGTTAACAAATTGTAATAAGTGTTTTCGTTATACTTTGTAAATTAGACTGTTTGCGCGTTTCCTTTTTAGGAAGTGTAAAAATTGTTTCAACGATCACCATAAATACTTAAAACGATCGAAAGAAACATGAGAATTATGATAAAAATGAGCCATTTGAAGGATGAATGGTATGCAGCTCAAACTTGTAAATTTTGAAAGTAAAAATGTTAGAGTGGTTGAAAAAAGTTGTGGAATCATGCTTATTTTCCGAAAAATGATCAATTTCGATGCACAGAAATTGAAACCCTGATCGGACGAACGAAATTGCTCCCGCGAGTGATCGTTCCGATCAACGCGCAGCAGATACGTGTACCGCGGAGGAGTATAGTTACAGGCTGATTTGTAAAAAAACTCCCGAGGAGTCATACACGTAACATCATCAGCGATACGAGAGCTTGCACCCTCCGGTACACTGCACTACTGCAGTTTGAGGAATGCAAGGGTACGCGGTGTTGTTTGGTCGGGTGTGCAGGTGGCGGTGCGGTGTGCTGCTAGGCAACGGCTCCTTTCTCACGTGGCCATGCGCACCGAGCTTTTCCCGGCTGTACCGAGGCTACATAAAAGCTCCTGGCCGACAACCTTCGAGCTCAGTTGAGCGACGAATCCACCGGCGAAACGCGCGTATCGGTACACGCAGTGCTCATCCGATCGTTAGCACCGCGAGCTAAAAGTCAATTCGATAAAACCCACAGCATGAAGGACACTAGGAGCAACGCAAGGTAATTTAGCCACCACCTAAAATATTGACAAAAAATCAATAAATCAAGTGAAAGTAAAACAACAGCAGCCCTTTGCCAATCCATCCGTGCAGGCGAAAGGAGCTCCGATCGTATACATTAATTTAAGTTTTTTTTTTTTTGTTTTTTTTTTTTGCAGACAGCATCAGGAGGGGGAGCGCGAGCTGGCCGACGACGAGTGCAGCGACGACAGCGGCTGCCTGAGCGGCACCACCATCAACACCATCAGTCCGAGTTTGTCGAGCAACGGCTCCTTCCACGAGCACCAACAGCGTCGCCGGTTGAGGTCGAAGCAAGCCAGATCGACCGACCGGTTGTACCGGAGCATCAGCAACAGCCGGATATTCTCGTGGCTGAGCCGCGGCCGCTCGGTCGAGCGGGTGCACCGGCAGAGCTGCGGCAAGGCCGACTCCAGCGCCGACATACCCGGCCTGCTGCGGGGCTCAAAGATCGGCAAGAAACCCTCGGACAACGGCAGCAGCCGCACCAGCATCGCCGCCTCCACCAGCAGCAACAGCAGCAACGGCAGCACCAACACCAACACCGGCAACAAGAAAAAACCCCAGAACATCCTGAGGCGACCCGTCGCCTACACCTACGCCAAGGGACTCTCGGGTTTGCCGACTCAGCGGGTGCCCAGGGCCGCCTACTAACGCGCACCGCGACGGTAAGAGCTTCTACTTCATTTTTTTGCCCATACATAATATACTTATGCATAATAAAAACGTGAGGGTGATCGTTAAAAATAATTCCATACAATTACTTAAACTCACAGTCCCAAATGAACCGAGCGATTCTCGCACGCGGAACGATTGGGGAAGGAAAAAACAAAATTTTTTTATATTTTATTCGTCATCTGAAATAATAACATAGAACCAAAGGGCCCATGGACTCGTTTGAAAACGTCCCTCGGTGTTATTGTCACAACTGCAGTTAGTTGAAAAAGATAGTATATTAGCCTACCCCTTTCGATGAATGCATTTTTTCGTTGTTGCCGTACAATTATCGTACAAAAGTATTTACAGCTGTATAGTTAAATATATTATACTTAATAGTAAGTAGTAGTAGTAGTAATTGTAAAGGTACATATTATTGGGTGGTGGCGCATAACGCATGTTTTTACTGACCATGAACGAACCAAATGAGTATAGAAGGGGCACGCCTGACCCAGTTTTACATATATATACCCGCATACACGTACATGCATCCTGAGGGTAATGCACCCTGCGATGATGTCAGAGCCGCAGCGGCTCGTTCTATGCTGCGGATCATTCACGGTCTCTCTCTCTCTCCTATGCCGCAGCTGCTGCTGCTGACCTACATTTTCATTTCTCCCTCACCTCACCCTTTCTCGCCTACTTTTAGTCGTCACAAGCGCAACCCCATGAATTATAGACGCATATACCACCCGAGGCACTGTTTTAACAACGTCACTGCTCATTGATGCCTATATATATATATGTATACACACGACTATGCGAATATTCATTATAATCATGCTTGGACCACACGAGTGGCCAATTAAATAGTATATTATGAATTTCACCTATATATTATATTACATACAGCTTGCATGGTTTATGTTGATTTTCAAACAATCGTTTATTCATGCTTTTCGGGATGACTTTAATACCATTTATACTTATATTTAGTATACAGGCAAACTTGAAAAGTTATTATTTATTTTTTATTCCATACGGCATTCAAAACGATTTACTATATAGATACACCCACTTAAGTACAAGTAACCCCTTAAAGTCTCGATGAATAACGTAAGTACCGTGTACAATTAAATCCGTCGATTAATCGTATTTGTACGAGATTCAACGTTTTCGCCGAAATCTTAAGTATATAATACAAGGGACAAACTGAAAAAAAAAAAAAAAATTTCTTAAAACGAAGAAAAAATTTACTAGAACATCTATACCTATAGTTTCCAGTAAATATACAAGAAATTTTTTTATACCCGAAATATTTTTTTTATTTATATTTTTTTTAAATATTTTTTATAAGAAATTTGTTTAACTTTTTCCATCGTACAATCATATGTAAATGCCATGAATTACCTTGCTTCATTCGTTTAATAAGTAAATAGCTGGTGCATGTTCACGTTGAGCTCTTTAACATAATAATATTACAATTTTACTTAAAAAGTGCCATTTTTTTACATTTAACACGGTTTTTAATGGCAGTTCACATACATGTTATTCGGAGCAACATTTCACTCGTGAGTAAAGAATAGTAATAAGATGCGACCCTTTAGCCATGAAATAAATAATTAAAGTGAAGAAACATGAAATGTAGTAGAGTCAGATGGAGAGAAAAATTGAGGGAGACGTAGAGGTAATAAAGCCCGATGGGAGGGGGGAGGGGCAGGATTAGCCGCCCCGCTGTGTAGTATATATGTGTAGGTACGTATAATCCTTGTACGGGAATCATATATGGATACTATATATTATATACGTGTTGTGGGGTGTGTGTACTTGTACGTTCATGTTTAGCAAGGTCGGCAAGAGAGAGAGAGAGAGAGAGAGAAAGGGAAGGTTACGGGCGCGCGCCTTGAGGGTTGAGGGTGACTGTCAATCGCCGATTGTTGCCTCGATACATATGCACGTCACACTTCACCACCACCACCACCACCACCACCACCAATGGTCGTTTGAATACATATAACATGTATATTAAAGTTTTAGGCCGGATAAAATTTAAGCCTTTTTTTTATATCACCTTCGATTAACTGCCTTCTGTGCCCCCACCCCTACTTTTATCCTTTGTATATTTTTGTACACTTGGCCCTCGTGAGATCAGCTGCTGTTTTATATACGTATATGCTTACCTGGAGCAGCAGCTGTGTATATGTATATATTGGAACGTCGCGATATGTACAAGTACCGGGCGGCGGCGGCAGCAGCTACGTCAGTCCTGTCATTGAGCATCAGCAGCGGCGTGGCCTACTTCCTGCAGGCCTATAGGTGTTACCTCTCGTTCCGCAGCCCCTCCCCCTGGGTTATATGGGTGAATGGGACACGATGTGTATCTATTAATGAAAGCCGCGGTGTGCTCCTTCATACAAGCTTTTATGGACATTAATTTTTGGGGTTAACTTGTGTATAAGGGATGCAACTGTGGCAGTCAAACTGTTTTTTTTTGTTACCAAGGGTCGAAGGTTACAATTATTTGATATGCATAATGTGCCGAATAAGGCACCCCTAAGTAGTATATAATCATGAGTGTGGGCGAGCAAATATTAGCTTGCAAAGGGTTTTTGGCGCAAAATCATGTGCTGCGAAATTTCGAAATAATCGTACGAAGCATCGACAACTGTTTTATAAATAATACAAGTTGGAGCTATTAAAAAAACGATACCTAAATATATCTTGGTCAGAGTGATATCAATGCTACTGCTGTCGTCCTTTAGTTTAAATACTTTGACAATTGTGTAAAAATAAAACATAATTTAGTTATATTGTAAAAAATACCTTTATTTTATTTTTTTACTCTCTAACGTTGAATTTTTTTCTTTTTTTTTTTTTAACGTTATTCCAACTTTTTTAAAAACGTTTTGTAGATACTTACTACATCAGGCTAGTCGTTGTACACCCGCACATGATATTATTTAACTATACTCGTGTCAGCAATAATTGGGGTCGGGCCCAACATGACGTTTATCGATAACTTGAAAAAATTCCATTCTATGCTTCGATTGGACATCATAACGGTGGTAAGAGCAAAATTCCATTCAAATCACCCTTCCACCCTCGACCAAACAATTGCTTTTGTTTTTAATCTAATTTGCTCACAAGCAAGTACTGGGGTAGTTTGATTCATCAAAATCGTCTTGCTGTACACCTAAGTATACATGAAAACGTAGACGCATCATCATCATAAAAAAAGTACGTGCATAGGTGGCGACGGTCTGCATCACAATTATATATAGATATGGCCAAGCCGTGAGACTCGCGACCCAGTGCAGGGTCACGCATGCAATTGATAAGAGAGAAAGCGCGTGGCTCGTGTGTATAGGTATTATCCGGCGCGTCCTCGAACCGGTCGGCCCACAGATGCATATAGAAGACCCCGCGCGGAGTCAAACTTAAAATTGCAATATATATATACTTACAAGCGCCGAGGGAAGGGAAGGGAAATTTGAAAAATATAAGATAAAAAAGAAGTCGATTAATAATTGGCAAAAAATATTTTTGTGTATTTATGTGTGTAGGTAGATATGATATATCTTATTAAATATGTCATCGTATTTTATATTTAGGTAATCCAGTGTCACTCGAGGAGGTCACGATTCACGATTCACGAGATCCGCCAGGCGGACGAAGACGCCGCACCACCTACTTCCTCCACACTCTGCAGCGCAGTTGATGTATACATGCACATGCAACACGGAGGAGGAGGGCATATACATATTGTATGCACACACGTATACACAAGCGTATGTGTGTGTGTGTGTGTGCTATTTTCTCTCTTTCTCCGTCGCTCTTGCGCACCACCCTGCATACACATATACATACGCAGATCAGCGAGGTGGTGCAGAGGGAGGCGTCGTCGCAAAAGGGGTCTTTGCACCACTACCGACTGCTGTGACGTATGTGGCTCTGACGCGCTCGCCCCAACTGGGATATTGACCTCGAACTGGGTCTCTAGCTCCTTCATCCCTCCCGTGCAGCTACTCCTACCTCTCAGCAGCACGTGTGCTCATACATACACACTCCATCTATACCAGTAAACCTATGTATAATACAATATAATGCGAGTAACAGAGCAGCGAGCAGCCCTCGACTAGAAATAGAACCTATATACCTACTTACCTATACCACTGCATCCGGGCCATCTGTAAATATAACTGTTACGATGCCCAAAGGTTTATAATATACGGACACGCTTTCCAGTGATGCGTGAAAATTATCCGATGTGTATAAAATTGTTATTTCATCGTGTACATACATACATACATACATATATATTTATCACGTAGGTATACTTAAGCAGTATAATTGTATATGATTTCCGAAGGTGTCGTGGATTGCAGTTTGCGCTCTGTGATTCTCACTCGGAGGAAAACTATGTAGATACACGCAATGTAAACTAATGACATTTATAAATTTGGGTACAACGAATGATGAGAAAAAAAAAAAAAAAAAAAAAAAAAAAAAAAAAAAAGCAAGTACTTGAATAAAGAAACAAATTAACAATGAATAACTAATGTGTTTTTTGTTTTGCCGCACCTTATTAAAGAAGTATATGGTATCTATCCTACTATCCCACCCCTCGTCGTTATACTAACCAGAAGTTTTCTCAGGTAACGTTTTAAAGCATTTTTTTTTTTTTTTTAGACATCGGTCTAAAACTTGGCAGACATGAGTAAGAATTGCTCTTTCGCAAAAATAAATTACAATTATACAAAGAAGTACGTTTTATTTTTGTTGTCCTTCGAGATTGCACGTTTACAAAAAATCACTCGAGTCTCTTTTCTTCAACGCTTCAATACTCAATACAGTATTCATTAATGGAAAATTTCCAAATATTAAAAACTATCTTATTGTTTTGGTTCATCGTTTGAAGCCTTTTTGCTTGTGAGCCGGTAGCTGGAGACAGTTTTTCGGTAATGGTCGAACCAAGTTTGCTCTGATATAGGCACTACTGATAATGATTGAATGACCGTTTTGTAAAAGTGCATTTTACATAAAACTAAATGTTCATTAGACAAACATGAATTAATTATCGACATACCAAACTATATGGCTGCCGTGCGAACCCGCTTAAAGTTTGCGAGAAATAAATTCGAACCATCGGTAATATACTGTATTCGTGGGTAGAGTGGTACCTTGGGGCTTAGACCAACTTTTACATTTCCAAGATGCGATATGAAAAAATTATGCCATTTCAAAGGGCTTTTGGGTTCGGGTGTAATTATGTGTTATAAAAAATGCAGCCACATTCATGTGTAGACGCGCACCTGCATCACTCTGTGCGAGAAAAAGTTGCGTTTCGTTTCTTAAAAACTCATTGAAGACAGCCTTCGGCAAAACTACGCTTTCTCAAAGTCGAAACAAGGCAACGTGACCAGGCCGTTGCTGCCGCAGCATCCACGTGACATTAGCCTTGCATAGAAGGGAGCTCCCAATGTGCTTGGCCTCGCTTTATGGCTTCCATCGCGCGATATGCTCGTATAATGTTGCACTTACTTGCTACACACAGGTACCTTACCTACCTGCCGCCTTCGATAAACCTTCGCGTCCACGATTTGACTCCTTATATACCTACTACGTCCTTGTCGGCCGCGCGTATAGATGCTGGTAATTTCAATGGCAAGCCCGGCAAACTCCGTTTTTTTTTTTTTTTTTTTTTTTAAGTAAATCACGTGCCAACGCGCACAAAGCTTCTTTGATGCACTTCGAGAGTTTGCGTACAATGTATATTAAGTCCAGGTGAATTATAAATTATCGATTACTCGCAGTATACTTTTCATGTTTGTTGGTTAAACAAATGTAGACTAAAATCTTTAGTACATTGTCTTTGCGTTACGAAGAAATATTATTTTTTCAATAATATAAAGTTCCTTAATGCACGTTACTATGTAAAAAAAAAAATGTTTACAGCACGACAATAATTATCAAAAAATAAAAAAAAAATTAAAAGAAAAAAAAAAAGTTTTTCCGTAACAATTTCGTGAACACATTTTACAAGTCTTTTACAGAGTATCTAAAAATATCACAATTCGCAGCCGCGAAATATCAACAGTTGAACAAAGTTCGGTACATCCATTCCCGAGCAATGAAATTGATGGCACTACTAGATGCGTACAATGTACTATTTTTTAAACATATAACACTGTTCGAAAGGCGAGCCCTTGAGTCCCGTGAACGTAACCGGGTAGTTGTAGATAAGAGCTTCGTTTTCTTCTTTTACGTTAGAAAAATGATTAAAATTTTTCCGTGCTGAAATACAATTAATTTTGAACCATGCAATTAAACGCCAAGATGCAAAATGGTAACGTGTGTGAAAAGGTGAAGGTTAATCAATAGTACACCCACCTTCGTTGACGAAGAAATCGGCAAAGTACCGGTTGGCCTTTATCGCATCGAAAGAGTGGGATATATTTTTTCCTTTGACCCACTCGAATTGGATTTTTTCCGGATGAAACTGAACACCATAAAACGGGAACGCCACGTGTTCGAACGTCGATATGAATTTTTTGTCGTTCCTGTCGTGGTTGTAGGATATTATGTGAAATTCCTCGGTGAGATTCACTTTCGCCAAGGCCTTGAATTCACACGAGGAATCATTAGATTCATCCTAAGCTAAAATTATCTAAATTTATCGATCGAATTTCATTTACCTCGTAAGTAACGCAATACTGATGGAAATTAACAGTGACTTTTTTCTCTCGCAAAACGTCAACTACGTCAGCTGGAACGTCCTTGAACATTCGACTGTTCCGAAAATCTGGAAGTAATTTTCATTGTTGACTAGTCAAAAATGCCACGAAAATCATATACCTCGAGGTCAAACGATATTCCATTACGTGACTAACTTTTGGTGAATTCGAGGGGAATCGCTTGGCTACTGCTCGAGCACGTCTCTCGATGCTCACGACGACTAGCTTCGAGATATGTCAGCAGCTCGAACCCCAGGCACGTACCCCAAATTGGAAAGTGCGTATTGTTTCTATTTAATTTTTTAGCGATTCTGGTGGCAGAATTATACAGAGTGTATAAATGCAAAAGACTTATGTACATGTATACTCTGGGAAAACAAGTTGAAAAAGTTTTTCTCACTCGTAAATGCATTCTCCAGCGTCAGCGTAACCATCGGTTTGATTGAAATACGTCGTACCTCCGGGAAACAGTACACTTGAACAAATGGGCGAACAAAAATTTTATTTATCCACATTTTTTTTTTCTTTTGACAATTCATTTTGTCGGATTGTTATTTTGTTCTATATTTACCCATTTATTTTGCTCAAGATGTTTTCGTAATACGAATAATTCTGTCCTATCCTATGGAGAAAAAATAACTTGTCTAATACGCTGGTAATAAAAAAAAAAAAAAAAAAAAAAAAAATAGAAAAAAATATGCAAACTAAGAAAATCATTAATGTTCATCACCATATTGGAGTTACTCTTGCGCCGGCGCTTTCAATGAATTTGACATAAGAAGCTGCAATGTAACTGTTGTACATGCCCGGATAAGCTTTGTCCAAGTTATAACTTATTTCTTGAGTTAAAATTCCTAAAATCAAGTATTGCAGGATAAAGAAAATCATAAAAGTACTCTTTTATATTATTAAGTACAACATTATGTATAAAAGAAAAAAAATGTTTATACGCGTGCGTGGATGTAAGTAACCAAGGCTTTTAGTTTATTTAGTATAAGTAAATTAACTCGAAACATTGGTAATTTGAAAAATTAGTCGTATTAGTGATTTTTTAGGGTAATTGGATGAAGATTTGCTCTTTTAAATAAAACTGTGTGCAACCAAATCTTTTCTGGATGTTTTAGTAAAAAAAAAGGCAAAATATAAAAATACAAATGAGAAAAATTGTCGATGAATAAGTTTAAGCAATTAAAGCTCATGTTTGTTCTACTGGTATCAATGATGTCATTCAATAAACGTTTGCAAATTAATGTGCTCTTATCAATAGAGATGATTGTGCATTAGCAGCCGCTTGGTGTATATAGCTATACAGCACATTACCCGTACGATAATATATACAATAGTGAAATATAGCAATTACAAGGCTGATCTTCTGGTCGAATAAAGATGCTTCGATTTTTGTAGTAAAAAATTTTTTATCGTGTACCTACTTTCGTTTGAAATTTTGGATAGAAAACGTGCATTATTTACGTAGCGAGAACATTTATTTTTATTTATATCATTATCTAAAAACATCAGTAGTGCAGATTAATTTTCAAAAAAATAATTGCCAATCTAGCTTGAGTCAGTATTTTCTTGTCGATTGTTGCGAGGGATCAACTTGTACCTAATTAAAATTTTTCTACAGCGAACAAAAACACACGTAAGGTTAGGTTATTTAGAATGAGTTTTCAATGATTATATGAAAACTAAAAATCGATTAAACTGCACGAAGAACTTTATTCAGGGGAAAAATTAGGTATATTTTATTTTTGAATGAGTAAACTTATAACATCAGAATAATCGTTTTACTGATTTATTATAATGTCTACAGGTAAAATTATTTTTTAACATTTACAAGATGATTTTTGTCATTCGGTCAAAGCAAATCAAATTTTCTTCAAATTTTTTCAAATGTAGGGTACTGAATTTTACACGTACGGATCCACAATTTCGTGTCGCGTTAAGTTTAAGCCATAATGGTAATAATATTACGCCGCGCGTACGATAAACACACACTTATAGTAGGTAGAGAGATATGCACGAGGTAAGCGAACAAATAGATAAAAGTAAAAATAATAAAAGCAAAGTAGGGAAATGATTACCTATTATTGGACGGTTGTTGAAGTTTGTCTCAAGCACAGCTGAAAGTACAAACCGATTGTTAATAGATAAAATAACAAAAAGCAAAACGGAGAATGACATTGTGGAATGCATGCTGGTGTGTTGCTCTCTCGAAGCTGCTACATACTATACCTAATATTATACAGCAATACAGCGAAGAAAAACTTGCAACGCCACCGATGTCATATACGTATATAAAGCCTGTAGGTGTATACCGATGAAATCTGCATTTTTATCGACAGATTTTTTTGTTCGTCACTTTGAGATTTTCGCATTTTTCTCTCACAATACCTTCGTACCCAACAACAAAATATCCTTCTACCATTAAGATACCGTACTCATCGCTAAAATTTTCATTTGAACGATTCTCAATGGTCTCTGATGAGCGCGAGTCGTTTGTAACTGACTAATAAAATTGGTATTTGATTAACCCGGTGTAACGCGAATAAGAGCTTGAGATAAGTATAGCAATAAAAAAAATTCTAACTAAAGTTACCACTGCATTTTCATGTGCAGACAAAGTGAAAAAAACTACTGTTGTCAACAATTAAAAACAATAGATTACTAGTAAGAATAGCGGACTGATACCGTGATACGACTATACCTACTATGAAATATATTAATATATTATTATTAATATATAAGTAGTAAGAAATAAAAAAAATTCACGCTAAAATTCATTCCTATCGGACGAATATAGTAGTGGTCTTCTATTGTGGCTAATTGAATGAGTAGTCGTACGACATAATACGAGTCGAATGATTCGACATACGTTCCAATCGAGAAACCACTATTTTCGATATTTGAAGTCGAGAATCGATCTTCGTCGAGTAAAATCCTTCCAAATCCAAAGTATAGATGTATATAGGTATATGGTGTTTAGTGTGCGTGTTCATAATAGATTTGAATTTCAAGTCGAAAGTATAGAGCCCTTAACGCTTTACGAGAAAAAGTAAAATTTACAGAGTTCCAAAAACCGCAACTATTTGTTGAATTGAGTGAATTTATTTATTCCGCTGTGTCTATTCGCACCAAATCCACGTAATTACGTGGATATAAGGTTAGGAACTTTAAAGAAATTTAAGAAATTAATGTTAAATTTATTTTTTTTTAATTTTAAATTTTTTTGCTTAGACCATCTCGATCGCGCTTATTACAATCGTGCGGGAATTTCGCCGCTTGACGGGAGCGAACTATTAGGGGCTTGGCCACCTGGCGAGTGGAGCCTGAAGCGCGAGAGATGTGAGACGCCACAATATCTATACATAGTTAGGGTGAGATTACATGGAGTCTGGCAGTCTGCAGACTGGCAGAATCGCGCTAAGTTTAAATTATGTTTAAATTATAACATCTCAGAATAATTTAGTAAAATAAAGAAAAAATTGTAATTATTGTCATAACAGAATAAAGGCTTAGTTACAATCAATTTCATTTACAATAAAACGTATCAAATATTATTTTATAACTTTTTTTATAGATTTATGTTAACATCGTACAGTCGGTCAGTAGAGTCACTGATGTAACCTGGTATGTATAACAATATGTAACTGTGACAAAACGTTTTTCGTCGCCTTTTTTTTCGTAAATATTAGTTAATACAGAAATGCAAATGTATTACGATAATTATTTCTTTGCTTACGTAACAGGTTTTAAATATTAATTTTGAAACATATTTTAAACTTAGCGCGATTCTGCCAGTCTGCAGACTGCCAGACTCCATGTAATCTCACCGTCTCACCCTCCCTCAGAGTGCTGCAGCCAAACGCATGCGCGCTAACTCAATACGAACGCTCGTGCACTCGGTGCACTCGTGCGCTCGTGCGTTTCGTCAGAGATTAGAAGTCTATAGTCTCTGGTTTCGTTTCCCTCCCGCTTCAGTAGACGCCCAGGCGAGAGCACTGGTGCGAACTTTACTTCACGTGGACATACTTCATTTGAAAAAGTAGCGTTTTTCTTTAAAATTTCTAACCTTATATCCACGTAATTACGTGGATTTGGTGCGAATAGACACAGCGTATTTATTCAGCTTATACCCAAAAAATTTACACAAATATGGTGAGTTTGTAGAATAAAATGCGCCCGGTACAACGACATTATTTTGAGGTTAACCGTCGACACGTGTTAGTGTTGATTGTTTGCAGTTGTCATTCAAGCATTAATAATAAAAAAATCACTAGATTTAATTTGTATTACTATCAACGGCATTATTAAGTCACTGTGCATCCAATCAAACACGTAAATAACATTTGTTTAGGATACCATTACCAAGTTATCATATCAATTTTTTTTTGTCATAGACGGATGAGGTGAACCCGAAAGCCTATCCCTTGGCAGACGCTGAACTATCTGCCAAAATATTGAATTTAGTTCAACAAGCTTTGAACTACAAACAGTTAAGGAAAGGAGCCAATGAGGCAACCAAGACACTCAACCGAGGTCAGTCAGAGTTCATAGTCATGGCAGCTGATGCACAGCCACTAGAAATCTTGCTACACTTGCCACTATTGTGCGAAGATAAAAACGTTCCATACGTTTTCGTAAGGAGCAAACAAGCTCTCGGCAGAGCATGTGGAGTGTCAAGGCCTGTTGTGGCCTGTTCTGTCACAGTCAACGAGGGTTCACAGCTAAAGCCACAAATTCAGAGTATACAACGAGAAATTGAACGCCTTCTGGTTTAACATTTTCAGCTATTTAACATCGCGATGCTATTATAGATATGTAACCTTTTTTTTAAACCTTGTAAATAAATGTAATTGGTATAGTAAAGATTTTTTCTGTAAGTCTGTCAAATTTCGGTGTAAAAATCAAATCGCCAATCTTTAAGAAGATTAATTGAAAAATTATTACGTACACTCTAACTCTTGATTAAAAGTATTAGTTTCCATGATGTTACTTGAAGTCGCATTCAAACTTGACAATTATTGACACCGGATAATAATCAATTTTTCACACAAGATTGTAACTGAGAGACTCTAACTTTGCCAACAAACGTTTACTCGACTCAAAGAAGTATTGATACTAGTTGTGAAAGCATTTAATTTTGACAGTGCGTCATGCAAATATTTAATTAATAATAATTATACAGACATGCACTGGTAGAACGTATAGTATTCTTTAGAAAATCGTGTATTTCTTAAGACAGTTGAAATATTACAACATAATTATCACTAAATAATTGATACTGTATCTAAAAATATTAAGTATGAATGTTTCAACCTTATTTCAAAATAAAATTATATTTTAAAGCATTCATTGTATTAGTTCTTAACTTGGAAAATATTGTTGAACAAAACAAAAACAGTAATAAGTCACTCCAAAGGCATACATGATCAACATTCAAAACAAGTTAGTACTTCACTTGTCCAGTTGCTGTGCCAACGGAATTTCTGATACATAGCTAATTTGTTTTTGAATTGTGCTATCTTTTGGTGTTGTTCAGAATCGTTTGGAAAATTTTTAAATAACGTTTGAATCTGCTCACCTAATTCTCGGGCATCTGTAAACACCAAACTATTTTCGTTGTGCTTGATAAGTTCATGTAAACTGAAAAAATAACAATCATACAAGACTTTGAAAATAACATTTATAATAATTATCACAATATTTGCAAACTTACCAGTTGTATTTATAAGCACAAACACATAAACCACAACCAAACATATCAACAACTTTCATAGGCAAATCTAAACCACTAGATGATGTATGAAGACATACACCTAAGTCTGCACTGGCTAAAAGTTTTGGGTAATCTTCATTCTCTAGCCAGGGTGTTATCACAGTTACATATTTCCAATTTTTCTTTTGAATTATTGCTTTGTAAAAATCTTTTAATGGTCCCTTGCCCGTAATCGCACATATTAACTTTGGAAACTTTACAGTCTCATTTGATTTACACTCTCTTTCATAATCTTTAAAGTGAAAAAATTATATTGATAACAGTGACGTAATAATCATGAGATGGACCAAATAAAATTTATACCATCAAGAGCTTCCAACAATATAGAAAAGTCTTCGTCTTCAGTCCAACTGGTACTTGATACGATTAATGCAGGTCGATTTGTTAGTAACTCAATTTTTCCATCAGATGACTTTTTTGCAAAAATCGTAGAACTTTCTTCATCACCTTTAAATACACTGTATTCTTTACTTAATTTTAAATATAATTCATATTTTTCTTCCAACGTGATCGGATGGAAATGTTCTGGTGGTCTATCATATAATACTTTAGCTCTAAAATGTAAAAAAAAAAAAAATATTCAATAAATAATTGTTATACAGTTAAAACTGAATATAATTATGCTCATACATACTTAATATTCCATTTATCGTTTAAGTCTTTTTGCATTGCTTTGGTCACACAAAAGTTTTGTGCAGCTTTGGCACCAAAATAGGATTCAATAGATGTAGCTAATTTGACTAGAAAATGGTTTTGTCCCAAGCTTAGTGCCATTATCGTATGTGCATAATTGTGCCAATCAATGGCAAATTCCACTTTGGCAATGAGACAATAGAACCAACATACTGGAATAGTTGGTATGGCAGGTGGATTTTGTAGAAGCAAGAAAGTTGAACTACACTTGAAAAATAGTACGTACAAAAGATTGACAGATTGCCAGATGACTTTGATCGCGTAGGCAAGAAGCTTGGTGACTCCTGAAACAAAACAGTGTTTGTACACCACATCCAAGATATTACAAGTCTAATGAATGAAATTCGAAATAGTTACTGTCATTCCAGTTAGGAGGACTTTGAAGATAATGTATTTTAACATTGGCATTGTCTCTGAGCTCGTGATGCGGTTGGGAACCAGAATACCCTACAAGCTCGACATTGTAGCCTTCCTTCGCAAAGGAAATCGCATGGTACTGCATGCGTGGACTACGCCCAAGGTCACCAAGGACTACGATGCAGACTCGTCTCGTTCTCGCGCGTTTCTTTAGAATTAGAGCAAACAACAGTCCAAAAACGAACGATACGCCAAAACTGTGCGCCAAAAATTCCATGTTTTGTTGCAATTATTTATACCAACCGCAACTTCTCGTTAAATATGTGCTGTCAGAGTGTCATGCAAGCAGCTTTTAATTCACATAAAATACATTTTTATTGTTTCCCTTCTTGAGGGCTTGCTAAATAACTCTATTAAAATATCTCGATCTAAGTTTTATATTTACAATGTATTTACCACTTAAATAAAATAGTTGACAAAAACTACAGGACTTGGTTCAACTTATTTTTAACTATCAGACAATCAGACTCTGTATGTTTTGGTTTGTCAGGGAGAGTAGGTATCAAAGGTTGTGTTAGAATATCGTTCGCAGCGCCAAGCAAACAGCCAATAGCAAGTCGGCAGCGCATCATGAGAGCGAGCATTGAGCAACGTTCGAAACGTTCGATAGAGTAAAGTGCAGAGTGTGTTCGACTTTGAGTGCGATATTTCATTTTGATAGTAATCTATTTATTCAAATGATAATTAATTGTTTAAAAAGTACAATAGATAATCAAGTCCTGAACCGAAAAAATGAAAGACATTACGCATTATTTTATCGATCTGCCAAAAAAAGCGGAAAGCGCGCCGGCGGAGATGAAAGAGGTTAGAGCGGAGCGCGCCAAAATCGAGGAGGTGGAAGCCACGTCCACGGAGAAGACAAACGGAGAGTCTGCCAGTGTCAAGCCCAAGAAGAAGCGCGGGCGAGTGAAAATCAAACTATCCCTGAAGTCCGAGGATGACGTCCCCTGTGACAACATTGACAACTCGAGCGATCCCGTCGAAAAGACGGCCAGTTCACACGATGAAAAACCGAAAAAAAGGCAGAGAAGCTCGGGTGTATCTCCGCTTGCGGCAACAGCCAGTGCCAAGTCATCTTCGGAGGACACTTGCCAAAAACGGAAGAAAACTGATGCTCCCGCGACTCAGGAGAATGAGAAGCCAGACCAGGTTATTCCCAAAGAGTTTGCCGATTCGTTCTCAAGCGCAGACCTAATTGATAACAAGAAAAGAAAAAAAGATGACGTAAGTTGAAGTTTCGTTCGTTAATTTGTTACTCTGTATTTTTTGTGAATTTTTCAAATTACATTACATATTGTTGACCGTTACTTTACCACAATGTAGGAGGATATATCAAGCAAAAAGAAAATAAAAACCAAGCACACCGAAAAATTGATAGATTTAGCTGACAAAAAAGGCTATTTGAAAAGAAAAGTCAGGGAGGAAGAAGAGGCAGCTAAGATCGAAAAAAGATTTGAAAAGAGGAAAAAATTGTTTACGGAGTCCAATAAAAATTCAGAAAGAATTCAGTGTGACGAGGACACCTCCAAAAATGATACTCCAAATACAAAACGAAATAATTTACTGAATTATTTCAGGTACTTGACACTTTATCTCCCAGTAACAGTAAGAGAAATAATTGTATTTTAATGCTTGCAGTAAATCAACTCCTGAACAGCTTGAAAAAGAAAGACAAAGAAACGCTAAAGTTACAGTTAAAGCACAAGTTCACACACCTAGTAATTCACCGGTGCCTGTAGCTCCAGTCTTTGATAAAAAAACAAAAAATTTACCAAAAAAGAAAAAATCTAAACACCAAGATAATACCGACGAAATTGTTGTAATTGAATCCGAAACTGTCATATTATCACCACAAAGTGAAAAAACTTCTCCTGAAAATAATAAGCCAAAGTGGTCATTGAAAATTCAACTTCAGTCCAACCACGTTGATTCGTTTGGTAAGTTATAATAGTTATCTTATATTAAATGTTAATAATATCATTTCACGATGATGAAAAATGAAAGCAAAATAGTCTCCTAGAAATAAACTAGTTGATGGCAATGATTTTTGACACTTTGATCTCTGATAATTCTAATAATTTACTTATGAAAAATTTAATATCATTGCAACGATTATTTATTAATAAAAAACTTTTTACAGCTGAAGATGAAGAAATTTATAGCCCAACTTTAAATTCCAAGTCGCACAAAGAATATGGAGATAGGGACAAAATTCCCAAAGTATTATTGCCTATGAAAAATAAGAAGAAAGAATTGAGTATTTCTTCAAGTAACAATAATAATAGTATTAACGACAAAGATGACAAAAGTGGTCAAAAAAACCTTAAAACAGAAAAGAAAAAAGTCAAACAGCATTTGAAAGTTAATAAAGAAGAAATATCTACGTCTGATAATAAAACAGCAAATACTGAAGTTGATAAAAAAAACATTACTGATGGTGTTGAAGATGCCATAATGATTCATGTAAATGGCGTTAAACAATCCAAAAATACTGAGGATGATTGTCAAATAATTAAAGTCAAAACAAACCAGCCCGGAAAACTAGCGCCGTTATTTAAGAAGAAAGCCAAACCAAGTGCTGAAATGGTAGCTGCGCGACGCTTATTTTTACAGTCCGACATACAAGAGACAACTAATGATAATGAGTCACGAAAACTCGCTCCTGCCGTACCTTCTGTATTACCTTTCCCTAAAATAAGCCATGTTAAACAGTTGCCTCTGAACAGTGATAGTTTGAGCAAGAGTTACAAGTTTTCTTTAAAAAGTGTAACAGTAGAACCTTTTTATGATGTGTCACTCATGAAAACTGTCACCAGTCTAAGTCAAAAAGAAATCATTTCAGATTCTGTACACAAGTGTGTGAAATCAGACACTGAAACGATTTTGTCTGAGATCGAATCAGACTGTCCAGGGGCATCAAGTTTGTGGAAAACTTTATCAGCGATAAAAAAGACTGAAATTCACAAAAAACCTCAAAGAGGAAGAAAAAAATCTGAGAAAAAGAGTTCCAAACATGATACCATTCAAAATGAATTGTTAAATAACCCGTGGACTGAGAAGTATAAGCCAAACAGTAGTACAGAGATAGTGGGAAATGAAGGAGCTGCTCAGAAATTAAAATCTTGGTTAGACAATTGGAAATCGTTAAAAACTAACGAGGACTATAGCAGTGGTGAAGAATTTTGTAATTCCGACGGCAGTTCATCAACTAATTTTAAAAGTAATCAGGTCGCTGTTTTGATTGGACCTCATGGTAGTGGAAAAACAGCAAGTGTTTATGCCATTGCTCAAGAGCTTGGTTATAAGTAATAATTTGATTATTCATAAATTCCAAGCCTGTACCACAATTTTTTCTAAATAATTGTAATTCGTGAAATGATTTTTTTCAGAGTTTTAGAAGTCAACGCTTCATCGAAAAGACCCGGTAAAAAAATTTTAAAAGACTTTGAGGAAGCTACCAAATCGCATAGGGTGAAAGAGACAAGCTTGAAAGATATGTTTACGTCTAAGTCGAAAGAACCGGAAGAGAAAAAAAAAATTTCGCAAAACTCTTTGATTCTTATGGAAGACGTTGACCTGGTTTTTGAAGAAGATGAAGGTTTTGTGTCGGCAGTATTTCAGCTGGCTTCGAATACGAAAAGACCGATCGTTATGACCCTGCAAAATACATGCTTCCATCTGGGTAAAATGGCACCTCAACAACTTCGAATTGATTTTAATCCAGCGTTTGGTAAAAGAGTAATGGCGTTGATGCGTCTGATTGCATTCGCTGAAACTCAATGCAAATTGCCACAGAGCTGCGTAAATGTGAGTATACTATTTAAATGTAAAATAATTGTATAAGATTTGTAAATGATTGATTTCTTACAATATTTTTTGTCCTAGATTCTTTGTCAAAGTGGAGATTTGAGAAAAGGTATCCTGCAGTTGCAGTATATCTTGTTATCAGGTAAAGAACACATTCCATCTAGAACTTTGAGTTCAAACAATATATCTTGGAAGGACATGCTTACGCAAATTTATAAGCCAGCAACCAAAGCTGAAAAAAGGGATAAACAAACAAATGAGGGTGCCAAGTGTACAAATAGTGCCTTAAACAACTTGGCAAATAATCTGGACAGTTTTTCTGTGATGTCAACTTTTATGGACATTGAAGATCCGACTTTAAATTTACCAACCTTGCAATCAGAGCCTAGCTTATCACTCGCTGAAAACATGAACTGTTATTCTCATCTTGATGGTACTAGTCTCGAAATCAGTAACTGGATGAGCGATTCAGTGAGAAATTTAAATTTGAATACATCAAAGAAGTTGAAAGATCAGATGGTAATAAGCGGTTGTTCAACATTGAAGAAACAACAAATCTTAGACGTATATTCAAAGCTATCGAACGTTACATCAAATCAGTTGGACCGACGGGTTCTAGTTTTAGATTATCTATCCAGTACTCGAACTATATGCAGAGCTGAGGAAATTCGACGGCAATTGAATAGTAAGCGAGGCAATCGGTTTTTTCATTATTTACAAGGTTCAAAAATATCAAATGCGGTAATGAGGACAGGCAATACTTTGATTTTTGGATGCAAAATGTTGCAAGAAAAACCTGTAGTTGGAGAAAGTTGACCATAGCATCACGAGAAGCCTAATTAACTTGTTTCTTACATTAACTATAGTTTGTAAAATATGTAATATATTTAATTGAATTTTGGAATATTTTTATTGTTGAGAAATATAAAGTCTTATGAATGTAATTATTAGTAAATTTAAAGATGTATTTTTTAAGAGAGGAGTCAAAATTTAGATTTTGATATGACAAATTAGTCTCGCAATATGTATTTTTTGAATGAATTGATTATAAATGTATTAAAAACCCGAATGATTTATATGTACATAATCTAAATATAAAACTTGTATTAAAAAAAGAAAATACTTGAGTAAAAAGTTGGTTTTATTGTAATCTTTTTTCATGGTAAATCTTGTTTGAAGCTTACAGTTTTTAGATCTTGATATGGTGTAGTTTTCGGTTGAGTTCTTCAAACTTTAATATTTTCATAATGAAGAAATCTCCATAACGACGAGCAACTTTCGTGTCGGCGATGTGAATCATATTGTGATCAATATAAAAATCAAGCTGAAAGATCAAAGTGTGGTTAATTGTTTGAAAAAAATAAGTTTCTAAATTTTTTTTGAATTAATGAAAACGCCAATACCTCTGAACCAGATTGGAATTTCCCATCTAATCCTGATGCGCCTTTGGTCCAAACAATATTTTTCATTTTATGTTTAAAACATAAAAGATAAATGGTGAGTTTGGCAATTTCGTCGTTAAAGTCGATGTTTTCACTCTGCTGATTGCTGATCATTAAAGTAGCCAATTTGCTCAAAGGCAACGTAGTGTAAAGTTTCAGATAAGAACGAATCGTAGGTAGCATCTTTTGTTGAATAACTTCCTCCATGAAAACATGAGTCTGGTGTTTAGTTGCATCTTGAATGTAATCATCGTTGGAGTAGGGATTAGGTGGGTGCAAACTTAAAAATTTGGGGCAGGCAAACTGGAAACAATTCTCAAATTCCTCCAAATCACCACACTGCATCTTATAGATCTTCTCTTTGTAACTATTCTGACGAAAAACTTGCTGCAAACCTTCGTCAACGCACTGTGGATGCAATACCAAACATATCGCTAATAAATTATACATTTGCTCTGTTTGTTTGTTAATTTGGTCATTTTGGTAGCTTCTTGGAACAAAAAGCTGCTTGGTACGTTGTACATAGAGAAGAATACCAGAAAACGTCCTAATAGCGTCGGCATATCTCCTCATCATCATGTAAGCAAATCCGACATAGTAGGCTGTTGATATTTGGCATCCAGGCACATGAGAGTATGCACTCTTTTTGTACAGTTCAACGTTTTCCAAGACCTAACGTTAACAAGTGCAAATGTGTTGACTTTTGTCAATATGAAGAATAAAAAAAAAACTGTAACTCATATTATTGCTTTTAGCAAATTATTGTTACCTTGATAGCTTGATAATAATCTCCAAGCAGGGAGTGGACTCGGAGGAGGCCAACGAGTGAAAAGTATCCCATCATTTTATACAGCGAATGTCTCCCAAATACCCCAGCCACGGACTCTGGATCTCCACCACTGGCGTAAACTTCGAGCTGGCTCTTAATTTTCGACTTGTCAATCAGATAGTGTAGCACATTGAGTACACAAAGAACATCCCAAACTTTGCTGTTATTGGCCAGCTCGTTCATTTCATCAGAAGTCATGGACGAGATATTGGCTTTGTACTGCGTGAAGGTCTGGAACTGATACACAAACTCATCAATGAGCTCCCACAGCCACTGGTCAGGCAGCTCGAGGGGTACAGGCTTGTCAGAGTTCAGGATGTAATTGAAGAGCTCGCAATAGTTGTAGAATGAATTGAACCTCTGTTCGAGATTCGGCTTCATGCGAGCGTAGATGTGACGGTAGTAGAGCTCCATGTACAGAATAACGAAGACATGGTCCTCGCCGACGATGTCAATAATGGCCTGCTCGTTGGGCCACGGTGACTTGTCGAAATATTGCTCTGAGAGCTTGGGAAAGGTGTTTTCGTAGAGATTCTGAATCTCGAATATCATACCCTCGTTGATGCAATTGCGCAAGTAAGCCAGGAACTTTCGAACGACATCAGGTACCTCGCGGTATTCGTCCCTGCCATAGGAGTAATCGTCCCGTCCATAGTCGTCGTACCTGTCGTCCTGAAAAGAGTTAAAAGATGCAGGTTAGAATAATTTTGGAGTGGCTACTTTGTAAACACTTTTTATTTCAAATTGTTAATTACCAGACGGTCAATATCATCGTTATACATGATAGTGAGCGGTTGCTCTATTTATTCTACTTCCTCAATATGCATGCGACAACAAATGAATAAATTCTCAAAGTTAACCTCAACAATACCCGTCACGTCAGAGAGGACAGAGAGTGTGCTCTCGCAGCCAGCCGAAGCCGAATCCTCGCCCCCTCCCCTTGCAATCCCACAGCCCGCCGAGCCCGCCGGCTCCGCCCACACCTCGCCATCTACTGGCACAAATTCGCGGTCATAATTATTTGCCGACAGTTTAAATCGTCAACTCAATACTCAATGTATACACTTACTGAATTAATCAAAAAAACAGTTAAAAACACCTATACTTAAATCTTGAGAAAAAAAAAAATTAAGCTGTTATATTATTTTCATTTTATATACATCAGACATAATTGAAATTGTTCTCCGAGGATCAAACCTGAACTATTACGGGGTGACTAACTAATAAATATGGTCATTGGAGAGTATATTTCTCGTGCTGCTATTTAATATGTTTCAATAAATTTAAAAAAAAATTAATTTAATTAAACAACATCAATTACAGCCTTGGAGTAAAAAAGTAGTTGGAGTTGTCCAGTCACCCGTGTAGTCGCGCGTGTTTATATGGACCATAAACTCTCGCGCGACCGGCGCGACTACTCCAAGTAAGGATATAATTACGGATTACGGATATATTACTGTATATAGTATATAATCACCGGCACGCGCAAGTTAGAACAAGTTGGCGGGAAGTAGAGTGATCAGTGATGTCACATTTTGCATACTTTGCTGTAGATCAGCGGAGACCTGGGGACATTGGCAACTGGATGATTAACAACCGATGACAATCGACGTTTGGCTTGACATTAGCAATCATGTTGCCCGAACTGACAGCAGGTGCCCTTGACGTAAGTTTCATTTTCATGGTTATTATTTTTGAACTTTTGTCTTTCAAAATATCAAATTAACAGTGGTATGTTTTCATAGTTAATAATGAACGGTACGGAGGTTGAAAATCCAGTCTTTCAGATCTTGGTGAGTTTTTGATTAACGATACGATTTGCTGTTAAACTGTGAATTCTTACTGGTGAATACGTTTTTACAGGGTCACAAGAGACTCGCTAGCTCATCCACTGGAGAAAGATACAGGCTGCTTGTGTCCGATGGAGTAAAATCAAACTCCTTTACTATGCTGGCGACCCAGCTCAACAACCTTATCACTGACAATATCCTGTCCGAGCATTCAATTGTTCGCATCAACCGCTACGCACTTAGTATGGTTAACAATGGTGGTACTCAGAGGTATTGTCTTAGCTAAATTTTCTATTACACTAACCATTAGGTACATGATCGCAGATATTAAAATTATTCCGTTGAATATCTCAATGCAATCAGTACTGAAAAATTTGTCATCTGCAGACGTGTGATGGTAATCCTAAACATTGAAGTATTGGTTCCGGGCAATGAAGTCGGAGTTGTTTTGGGTGACGTCAATTCAGAAAATGCAAAATCGGAAGAAGTGGCTAATCATGCGGCTAATAAGCCTAACGTCGTGTCACAGAAGCCTGCTGCTCCAGCTCCAGCACCAAAGCCAACTCAAAACAATAATTTAAATGATTCAATATCAAGTGGCATCAATACAACTCCCATTATTGCTTTAAGTCCTTATCAAAACAGGTACATTTTACATATATGTGTAATGCTGTCACATACATACGATGTATTCAAAAATATGGAGATTTTTTTTACTTTGAATTTATATAAATTTTAGGTGGGTCATTAAGGCTCGCGTTGCCATTAAATCACCTATAAGAACCTGGTCAAACTCTCGTGGGGAAGGGAAATTGTTTAGTATGGATTTACTGGATGAAAGCGGCGAAATTAGATGTACAGCGTTTCGCGAACAGTGCGATCAATTTTATGATATGATTGAGGTAAATTTTGTGATTTAAAAATATTTGTATTTTAAAAAGTATGTTGAAGAATTTTCTTTATAGATTGGAGAAGTTTACTACATCTCACGCTGTATGCTGAAGCCTGCCAATAAACAATTTAATAATTTGAAAAATGATTATGAAATGACTTTGACAAATGATTCAGAAGTTATCGTGTGTAACGAAGAAAACGAGAAAATTCCAAATTTACAGTTCAACTTCATGCCAATAAGCGTTATAGAAACAACACCGAAAGATGAGCTGCTTGGTAAATTGGTTTGACTTGAATAATATTTTTATAAAAATGTTTACTCAATACATTAATTAAAAATTTACAGATGTTTTGGGAATTGTCAAGAGTTTCAGTGACGTACAAAATTTAATTGCAAGAACAACCGGTCGTGAACTTAAAAAAAGAGATGTCAATATTGTAGATGAAAGTAATAACATGGTGAGTACAAAAAAATCTGCTTGTAACCTTTAAAATTATAAGGCGCCTTCTAAAAAATTGATATATGAATATTTTTAAGGTGAGTGTAACCCTGTGGGGTCAGCAAGCAGTTGACTGTGATTGGTCTACAAATTCCGTTATAGCAATCAAAGGGGCAAAAATTGGCGAGTACCAAGGGGGTAAAAACTTATCTTTGGTAGCTTCATCCATGCTACAAGTCGATCCAGACATACCTCAAGCTCACAAGTAAGTATTTGGTATTGCTCGCTGCTTATGTACTGATTTATAAATTACTACATTTACCCTTGTGTAGATTACGCGGATGGTTTAGGACTGTGGGCGCTAACACAGAATCTAGGTCGTTATCCACGACAAATGCTTCAAGCGGTATGAACGTACAATGGGTAACATTTCAAGAAGCTGATGAGAATAAATTCGGTCATCAGGACCACCCGAGTTATTTCATTTGCAAGGCAACGGTCAATCTCATCAGATCCGAAAATGTATTGTACAAGGCATGCCCTTCAGAAGGCTGTAGAAAGAAGGTTGTTGATCAAAGCAATGGAATGTACAAGTGTGAAAAGTGTCAAAGGGAGTTTCCTAACTTTATTTATCGCTTAGTGGCCACCGTAAGGGAACAACATTTTTTTTATAATCTTTATTTTTTTACATCTATATTTATCAATGTCGTCGTTTTACAGGCGAATTTGGTGGACTGGACAGGCAATGAGTGGGCTACTGCATTCAACGAAGATGCAGAAATTTTAATGAAAGCTTCTGCACAAGAGTTAGGAGAGTTAAATGAAAAACATAAAGATACATTTTTGGAAAAAATTGGAGCGGCTGCATTCAAATCATACATCTTTAAATTACGTTATAGGATGGAAAATTTTAATGTAACTGTACTACTGTTGTATGATGTATTTTTTCAACACTACTTAAAATAAAAGAGTTAATCACGTGTGTATGCTTGAACTTTTTCTAGGATGAAAACAAGTTGAAAGCAACGATCGTTAATATCCAACCAATAAATTATAAGGAGTACACTGAACATCTACTGAATAAAATTCAAGAGTTGGCGGATATAAAAAAATAAAGTTATAATCGTTACAGTGTAAGTTAAATTTTTTTTTTATGTACTAATTATAGTTAAGCATCTCATTTCTAGTTTCGTTACGTGTAATTCGACAAGAAAATATTATTTTTGTTTAATCACAAGTTGGTTAAAACAAACTGTTATGAATAATTTTGTTTAAAAATTTTTAATTTTTGACTGTCGTTAACTTCCAAAATTACTGTGATTAAAGTTCAGTAAGATAGAATGTGTTCTTTCTGCTTTGCATGCAGATGAAACTTTTTACTTAACAATGACACATACTTCGCCTCTTGCACACTATTGACATTGGCTACTAAATTTGATCATTTAAGAAATAAAAACTGCCAATTTACTGTATATCTCTTTACAGTTTATTAAAACTTGTAAAAATATGTTAAACGAAGAATAAATATATTTTTTATTTGTAATAAAAATAGTTTTTTTCTGAAGTTTGAAGCCGTACATTTTCATTATCCTGAAAAAAATTTAAACTAATTACAATCAACTGTCACGTCTCTAAATTATTTAACTAAAAAACCATGTTCAAAAAATGAGATTTTTTTTACTGATTGCCGCTTATGTAGGTATTTGGTACTGCTCCCCCAGTTCTCTCAGTGAGACTCTCTCACCCACCTCATAGGCCAAGTGTGTTCGGGAATGTTGCTCGGAGTAAGTAGTTATATCCCGCGATCGGGTACTGAATCTTGAAGATTTATTGTAGTGTAATTATTATTAACCTTCCATTATCCTTTTTTACCTTATTCCAACACTTTTTTTCATACTGCATAACATCATTGAAGGTCAGGAACAAATAATTAACAAATTGCGGTGATCTCAACTCCATTAAAAATTTGCGTTTTTGGGACTTTGGGGGAGGAGCGGAGAGGACTGCTCTCGGGCAATCCATAAAATACAAACACCCGAACACACGCACTTGCAAACTCCGTGCTCCTGGGGCTGCGGGAGAGACAGAGATAGGGTCGCTAGAGCGAACCTTTTTTTTGGTACTTGAATGAACTATATACATCAAAGTTTCACATCAATCCGACAGTCGTGCGCTACACGCTCGTGCTACTACAACCCGATGCACAATTGCACGTTCGCGTGAATTGTTCCCGATGGTCTCGGTCTCGGCTAAGTACTGCGTGTACGTTGTGTCGCCTGACGGTGTTATCATGCATGCCTAGGGAGTCCCTTTTTTGTTTACAATTTCCTTTTTTACGCAATTGCACAAAGTGTCGGTGTGTAGTGTGTGTCCACTGCACACAATTGGCGCATCATCTGCATTGGCCGCTAAAGAGGGAAGTTACATTGAAATTTCGGAGCTATTATTGGGGTGTACGGACGGCGACGACAATCGTCTTTAAACACGCATAAAAGAAGAACTTGACTCGCTCTTGACGCTTAAATGGTAAGTAAAGATTTTTTTTTTTTTTTTTTTTTTTTTTCCACGCCAAGTACGCGTCTTAAAAAAAAATACAACTGCATACGCTTTACGCGGACTGTGGGGTCATGAGGTGCCGATGAAAAATTTCGGAGCAAATAGGCAGGGATAATAGCACGTGCGTGTCATTTTGGAGCAGCGCGTTCAGCTGCCGCCGAGATTTCGGAGCAGTGACCGATGCTAGGAGATGATGAGGTTTCAAGGACACCGCGCTGAGATACACACATAACCTTCCACTTGTGATAAAAGCGTGTGTGTGCTCTTTACCTCCGGGCCCTTGTGTTTTTCACCCCTATCTTTTTCCCCCCCTATTCTTTAATTACCCTAGGTTTTTTTTTTTTTTTAATTTTTTTAATTTTTTTTTTTTTACCAAATTTGTTTGTATGTCTCGTTAAAAAAAAATCGATTGATCAATTGATCAGCAAAAAACACGCATTAGGTGTGTTGAATCACACTTGTAAGAGCCTGGTTTGCACAATTATCACGAGTATAAGTATAGGGAATCGTAAGAGGGTTGTAATTAGTCTTGCGGTGATCGGCAAAATCATTGTAAAAGTAGCGCGTTTGCTACGAAAGTAAGTATAAGCAGTAGAGTAGACGAGATCTGAAAGAAAAAAAATTTCCTCGTGCTCCTTCAGGATAACGCATTAGTCTCCATGCCTTGTATATATGCGTGTGTGTGTGTGTGTGATGGCCCTGGCGCGACGCTATACAAGGGGGCGAGTGAGAGGGAGACCTTTCGGAGCAGCAGCAGCCATTTTATGCTTGAATTTTCGTGTGGTGCGCGCGATTTCGCGAAGAGAGAAAGCGAGATAGGTTGTGTGCCGGTTTGCGCCGCGCGGAGAGTATCGACTGCCTCCACCTCCACCCACAAGCGTATATGTATATGCTCTCTCGCGTTTCGCGCGCGTCTTGCCAGCATCTAACTTGTACGTACAGATATACCGAAACGTGCGAGGTGTATTAAACCGAAACGATTCGACTCCGACAAAATGCATGGCGGCTTAATTCTCATAAGGGTTATTGGGAC